CTTTCTTTATCGCAGTCTCTCCTTTTTCCTTAGACTTCTATTAACCTTGAAATCAATGCAAATGAAATAGTATAACAATATCTAATATCAGACACATTAGAGATAAATGCATGATTAACAAGACAGCTACAGTATAATGGATGTGTGCATGAGATCCTGTTACATACAGTTTGAAGACAGTGTGAGAGCACTATGTAGAGGTGAAACAGTGAAGAAGGAAAAAGAAAAAAGTAAAAAAAATAAAATGCAAAAGCACTAGTTTCAGTTTATTTACAATATTCAGATCTGATGTTTACACTGAATCTGGTTCTGCTGCAGGTTTCTTCCTGTTAAAAGGGAGTTTTTCTTTCCCACTGTCGCCAAAGTGCTTGCTCATAGGAGGTCATCTGATTATTAGGGGTTTTCTCTGTGTTATTGTAGGGTTTTGATTTTACAACATAAAGTGCCTTGAGGCGACTGTTGTTGTGATTTGACGCTGTATAAAACTGTAATAAAACTGAATTGAACCTAAGAACTCATGTATGCTTTTTAATTTTTATTTCTTTTTTGTCAGAGAACACAACATAAATCAATAATAACTAATAACATTAATGCTGATTTAGCACAAGTAACAGTAAAGCACAGCAGATACAGAGCAGCACAGAAGGCATGCTTTTTTGGGCAGTACAGTGAAGTATGACCCCAGCCTAAAACTATTCCAGTAATGCTGATCGTGGGAGGGAGAATAAGGGACAAACAGCTAACCCTTACATGCTAACCCGCACACTCAGAAAACATGGAGCTTTTGATGGACAGCTGGTAATTGTGGCTGACTCCTGCGCAGAGGGCGGGTGGATGTCTGGTTTGACACATTGAAAGGACAAAGGTTAAATTTTCACTTTCATTCTCGCTCTGTTGTCCTCCTACATCTCCCAGCTCTCAACTTTTTTCTTTAGCTGTTCTGTTAAGGGGTCATGTCCGTTATTCCTCTGCCTCACTGAAGGCTGATTGGCTTTATTTTCCTGACTCACCACTAGGGGTCAGCTACCTGAGTGTCTGGCAGAGAGACAGACCAGAGCCAAACCTTACGTGCTAGTAAAATCCTATTGTGAGAGGAAAAAAGGGGGTGGGTGTGTGGGGTGGGGGTGGGGGGGGGGGCGTCCTGTTTGCTTATTTGATCTTGAAACAACATCTATTTGTCATTCATCATACATTTATACAAAAAAAGAAAAAGAAAAAAGAAACACTACACTCCGACATTCCTCCACAAACACACACCTACAATTAGGAGGGAATCTATTGTCCTACTAAGTCAGGGGGCTGTTGCTAGGCAACCTCTATTTCTAAGGTGAAAAAGACAGCGCTGAGGGAGAATAGTGAGAGACAGGGAAAGCTAGATAGAGGGAGGGATGTAATGAGCGTCTGAAAGTAGGAGGAGGGGTTGACCACAGGAAACGCTCACTTAATCATTCAAACCGCATGCAAATAAAGACACTCATCCTCTAACACACACAAACAAGCACTTTCCTCTTTTCCTTCTCTCTCCTGCCATCCTCAGTCCATGTATATGCATGGTGAGGATACTGGTGCTGCAAAACAAGGGTTGGTTGTATGGACAGCTGCGAGGAGGCGTATCTGTATGTTAATATGTGCTTAAGAGCAAGCCGGGTTATGTACTAGAATGGTTTTTAATAAGCTCCGGGAGGATTTTTTTTTTTTCAGCTGGGAACATTTCTCAGTGACTGTATGGATGTGTGTGTAAATGTCATGGGAGCTTATGCAGAGCAACATCAAATACAATGGAAATCAGACAGTCTCACAGTCTTGGCTGGAAGCGCTGCTTGGCTTCTTCTTAGACACAACTTAACTAACGCTCAGTATCACAAGTATGCTGACTCAGCCTTCTACTGGGAATTGTATTTTGGTTTTTTCATGTGTCCCAACAAATCAGCAGTACACTACAAAGTGGCTGTCTCGTGGATGAAAATAATTTCATGGTAAGTAAGCAGCTCAGCCATGTTTAAAATGACAGTGGTGTGAAAAAAGCAGCTCTGGAGTGTTTCAGTATTACTACTACTGTCAGAAGTTGAGGTAATGCACCTATCAGCTGTTTGCAGGCCACAATTAAGGTACAAAAATAGAAGAAGAAAGCCTCGCTGACTACCAGATGTTGGTAAAATGTGTTGTGACGTAAACAGGAGAAAAATGCTGAGCCAAAAACTACTACAGTCGAACAAAAGTCCTGTGTGGAACACAAGAAATGAAAATGAGGACCAATGCAAACTCTCCTGCACCTAACCACTGTTATGTGAGAGTGGTTGTGGGAGGGTGGGATCATCAAAGAATGATTCCCAGTGAATCTGAATGGTGCTTTTGCTTAAAATGTCTATTCCTTCACAATGAGAATCAGTCTCAATGCCACACCTAATAGTACCTTTAAATAGGACTTCAAAATGTGCCAGGTTTCTTATAAAATTGTCTGTTATAATCAAACTATTCATCAAGTGTTACTGAATGAGTACTTTAGTCAAACTGGCTTCAGTAAGAAAAAGAGCTTTGAAAAGACATTTGTGTATAATCTAAAAGACCGTGCATGTCTCAGTTTGGATAAAGGAGTTCTCATATTGAAAGCCAACCTATTAAAGAAGGCAATTGAAGCCATTTTCATGAACAGAGGTGCAAGTGAGACAGCAAATCACCATCAGATTGGACTTCAGGGGGTCTTTAAACTGCCAGTTTTATAGTACAAAGCACTTTGTGACGGGTGACTGCACCCATGTGAGAATCATGCAAACAACTGCTTTCGGTGAATTCACTGCAAGCTGCAAGTGGAGATCACGTATGTTACTGAGTGGATGCCATGCTTAATTACGTGTAGCAACCTTTTTCCGTCTTATAAGAACTGTAGCTTTTTATCAAACAGGAAACAGAAGAGAAAGAATATACAAAAGAAACAGGGGAAATAAACAGCGACACACTTGCCAATAACTACACTGGAACAAGGGAAGTGAAACCAAATGTGGCCTGCAGCACATGTGTGAGCTTTTAATCATCTGAAGAATGAATCAAAAAGAAATCTGAAAGGCTCACTTTGGAAAGCTCTTAAGTTAAGCAGGCTGCCAATGCACTATGTACGTCCTTTCACTTCTTTTTATATTCTTTTGGAGTTTTTTTACTGGGAAATCTAATAAGTATAAATCTATAGTTTTCACTAGCACAGACCCTCTGCAAACAGTGGCATAGATGACTGTCATTTACTTAAGGTTAGTCAATGCTTATTAGAGTATTAATTAAACTACAATATATAATATATTAAATTACATTTTATTATCTCAATTTATTAGAGATAAAGCCCTGGATGAAAATTAAATTACACATGCAAGGCCTCAACACAGACAGCACAGTACTTCTACTACCAAAGAGGTCAAAATTAGAAAATCAAGGTGCAACTGAAGTGAGAGCAAGATAAAAGATTGAAGTAACAATAATTCTTGATAGAGCTGTCACTCATCCACTCCGTCAGCTGGTTGAGGTGCAATATTTGACTCACAGCCCTGGAACTGCGTTATTATTACTAATGACGTTCTTATGTGCTCAGATAAATGGGACTATTTTAGTTCTGCTCAACTGATCTGCAGCCTTTAACTCCACACATCGTGCCTTTCTAGTTGACATATTATTGAAAAGGATTTCGTCACGCTTATCTGAGAGACACTTCAGAATCCATACTAAAAGTCTTCATCAGCTCCTCTGTTCTGCGGGATCCCTCAAAGTTCAATCCTTGGACCAATTGTGTTTTCATTGCATACTATACTAATCCTGAATCATCTTGAGAGCATTGCTTACCTGTATTTTTCTGTTAATCCAACAAAAGGCTCTGCTACCTCAGTCAATGCTTCAGTGCTATTAGTGATTGGATGTCTTCAAAATTCCTCTGTCCTAGTAAAACTGAGGCTCTTGTGTTCCAGTTCTGCTTCTCTATGGAGACTGTTCTTTACTTTAGCCCTCTCATTAGCAACATCACATCATATGATCAGAGACTTGGTGTTATTTTTCTCCATCTTTGGGCTTACAGTCTTGTTTCTTTTATCTAACAAACATCTCGCCCTTATTTCCATCCAGTGAAACTTGGAATTCATTTTTAAATTATTAGTTACATATAAAGCTCTACATTGCAAGTCTCCTGCATATACAGCAACAATGCTGACACCTTATTCCACCAGTCAGCCTGGCTGGTCTCTAGAGACTGCTCCCTGATCCTATTTTAAATCTAGAGGCTTCTGTAGCACCTACACTTTGGAACAGCCTTCCCCAGCCCATCAGTTTTGGCTGAATCAGTGGTTTGCTTTAAACTTAGAATGATAGAATGATTTTGGGTTTCTGTACAAACCAAAATTTTGTATGGAAATATGTAAATAACAAACTACTGTAAGACCGTAAACTTGTATGTACCTTATTTTGGGATACATACACTTCTATGTTTTAAAGTGGTGCAACCTCCCTGCTTTTACTCTGGTTGCTACCAAGATGCACCAGTTGTGAGCTGTAGCAGGAAAACGCTCTGGGATTCTGCTATGTCGGACTTCTTTCAAGTTTCAAGTGGACACTTTCCATTTTCTAAAGGTGATTTTGAGAATCTCCTAGCAATCAAAGCAATCACAAGCTGTTTTTTGGTGTAGCACCCCCTTTGTGATCAAGTTTACCCAACGACAGCTAGCAAACCTCCAAAAACCAATCAACAATTGGTCAAGTAATACACATTTTTCCAGAGTAACTGGAGTTTGGGAGGGGGTTGCCAACCAGTCTCTAACCCTCTGTAACTGAGAAGTAAGTACATCCTTTTTGAATATCATAGCATTTTATATTAATTATTGTGTAAAGGATGACGAAAAGCGCTGTGAACAATGAATTTGGTCCAGAGGTGATTGAGAAGATGGAGAAGCTGAAGATATTTAAACAGTATATAGTTTTTGTTTTAATGTATGGGTTCCTATATTTAGCGACAGTCCAGCCAGACCTACCTGTGCATAGTCCCGCTCCAGTTGTCCTTTCTTCAGACTATAGCTCCTGCAACAACAACAAAAAAAGAAACTTACTGAAATGTACAGAGGATAAATGAAACAACAGATAGATTCATAATGTATATATCACAACAAATAACATGTAGGAATACAGATAGCAAATAAATCATCATCAAAAGTACCAAGGCCTATTGCTTTGTTACACAGGAGGCAGAAAAAACAGACCTGATGTTTATTTTCAGTGACAGTTTGTGTACTGTGTGTTCATTATGATGAGAAGGCACAAATGCTGCAATCCCACCGAGTATGCCAGGGGAGAGCTTGGTGACCACAACATTATGCAAGGATGGAATTACCACTCTCTTTATTTCTCAACGACTCTTTCTAAAAATACCTTCTGAATTTATGACCCACACAAAGCAACCTTTCCCCTCACCCCGTTGATGTGAGTCAACAACATCCTGGAAGTGAAGAGACAGTGAAAGCTCTTATCACAGCCCAATATTATGCAGAATTAAAAACATAACATTACATATGTGATTACACAAACAGATACATATTTTGGCCATGAATGTGAATGGACAAAGCATCATGTACAGTTGATTGGATCTAAATATTTTTATATATATCTCACTATGCGTGTGTAACATGTATTCTCGAGTTAAATGCATAGTTCATCAGATGCGAGCCCAGCTAACTAACTCAATACCACTTTTAAAGCTTTTTACAAATCTTATCACATTTTTCACTGTGATTTATTTCTTAGAAACTTGCAAGGGGCTTTCTGTGGATGGTTACTGGAGCTGTTAAAAAACAGTTATTACAGTACAATAGCTCCATATTGGAAAAATGTGTTGGCACTAGAGCTGGGCGATAGAACGATATGTATCGCGATATAACTTTTACTCGATAGAGAAATTAA